TAGCTACCTTGTCATCCTAACACATATAATGAACTGGTTTTAAAAAGTGAAGGTCTTTTTGGTATATTTTGCAGAAAGGTAAATCCTCTCCTATGATCTTCAAACTAGGTTTATATGTAAATTCGTATGAAGATTGGCGAAAGCTTGAAGAAGCATGACGATTGTGTCATATACTTTGAGTGGATAGAGTGGATAGAGACGATAGAGCGTTAACAAATCCTCAGTTATGCAAGGTAAGCTGCAGGGTGGGCGCTTCTTATAAAGACTTCTACATATATCCTAGAAAGGAAGTCCCTGAGAATTTGTTATGAATAGAAGTAGTCGTTTGTGGTGAATTCCTGTTTCCTGTCATATTGAAATATTTACATATTTCACTTTTTTTTCAAAATATAATGTTTTTTTAAGGTTGGCAAATATACACAATTCCTTTTTTTTTCGCGGTAATTGTCTGTGTTTATATACCTACTAAAATGCGTCTCATTCATAGAGTTCAAGGTGGTCAAATAAGAATTCATTGATATTAAACCTTGGAAGTAAACGTGTAAATGTGATCTATAGATTTGTCAATTAGTTATTTATATATTCCTTTATTTAACGTCAATACAACAACAATGTAATTAGTTCGAGGAGGATTTAAAACATCGTTAATAAAACGCAACATTTTTAATAAACTGCTGCTGCTTCTGTTCGACGCAACCAAGCAAGCGAAGTAACATTAATAGTCTTGAATAAAGCCAAAAATTCAGAGACCATGGTTAACTTGTAGTCAAGTCATACATTGTTAGTTAATCTTTTCAATGGATAAGGAGTAAGTAAGGAGTAAACTGTATGACCTCTATGGCCCTTTCTAGACTCGAACGAGGAGACATGAGAAAATCGATCCCAATAACCTGCAGATACAAAGATAACTGAGTGGGTGAATAATCTTTGTAAATCAATGGTCTTGAGTAGTAATGGCCTAGTTAATGCATAAGTCAGTGAACTAGAACGCTAACCATGGAAACATTAAGAACTTAATGCATATTGCCGATTTGTAAAGCAAGGCGCTTTTTTTTATTTTCATTCTATGTGTCAACGTGACAGTTAATTATTTCCATGTTCCTCAATGCTTTTAAAATAAGCTAATTACAATTTACTTACTCTATAACTTATTAACTCTTTATCATAAATTATTTATTAGCTTATTCTTAGTGATCTTTGAACGTAATTTTCACCGAAAAAATCAAGATCAAAACGTCGGATTGAATTGAAACTTCGATGACAACATCATAATTTAATAAGCTTTGATTATTCTGATCAGAATCTTCAGAATTAACCAATTTTTAATACATAGAGGGTTATACCAACACCAATCTGTACTTTTTTACATTACTTATCTAATAAGTTTATGAAATCAAGTTGTATATTTTTTTAATAAAGTATAAGTAAAAACAGGATAATGAGGTTTTAGGCTTAGAATGCTCGAGGTTCCGACCAACGACGAAATTAGTTTTGTTGATGAGTTAAACGGGACATTCGAAATGGAACATCTAAACTTCGTAAACTTAGGGACAAAAATCTGTAGCGGTACACATATGAAAATGGGTTTTAGTAGCTACTTAAGCTACTAAAACCCATCTGAGTCATATTTTATATAGTTTTTATTCACTTATCAAATACCACAAGCCTACCTACAGTAAAGTTAAAATTTCAAACCATCCTAGCACCCATTTTGCTATCGAAGCTTGAAATACTTTCCCAAACTCTTGTATCTACCAGAATAGATAAATACCATCTATTTAAATATAATTATTAATCAGGGTCAATAAATAGGAGTCCTGTACTCTTCCTCTATGACACAAATTACGTGAAATTGTTACGAGCGGGGTATACTTTAAAAACAAGTAGTTGAAAAATTACTTTTATTGCTCTGTATTTACAAACACTTACTATTACAAGCAAGAAATCACTATATAACTCGTTAGTAGCAATAGAAATTAGCTTCGATGTTAATTCTGTACCGTACGGCTAACACGTTCCGCTTTTCGAGGCCTATCGAAATTACTAGACTAATCCTGAGGATCCGATGGAATGGTTCAGACAGAACCACGTACAATAAGGAATCTACTGATTTCTAAAATCTTCCGATATTCGACCCTAGATGGCACTGCAAGTATCGGCAAATTCAGGACCATAATCTCAATGCGTAGCGTTTGTTTTGCCCCACTTGATACTAGATGGAGCTGTCCTCCAGAAACAACACGAACAAGAACCACTCAATCCTATGCTATGCAACACTGCCCTGCTAAGACATGCTCGTCGCGAGCATTATCGGTTCCATAATATCGCGCCAATCGATCCACATGAACAATCTTTGGGGCGCTTCTTGGACACTTCTGTATCTGGTAGGTAACATCATTGATTTTGTCACCACTCTGTAAGGTCATCATCGCCATTAGAGCCGTGATACCTGAAGCCGCTGACGAAGTGGACGAAATGGCTTCCATTGCTGGCTGCTGACCCTCCAATGTACTAGATGGTGCTGTCCTGCAGACAACACAAGAACCACTCAATCCTATGGCGCAACACTATGTTTTGTGTTTTCTGTATCATGTTTGGTCAAGTCCTTTTTAACATTTGGAAAAAAATCTTTACCCGATTAAAATTGATAATATTTATATTGATCAAAAACCCATATCCTCTTGAGACATCGTAGGAAGAGGGAAGTTATTGAGACAACATGATGTATGTAATAGAACTCAAGTTTCGTATTTTTAGCGTCAAAATGAAGTCCTCCCTTCTTTTTATGAAGTGTAGAGGCAAGGAGAATCATCTCTGTGTATGAAAACTGTCTGTCAAAATGCGTTAAATTGGGAGCGCTGCAGTAGCATAAGGATATTTTTTTTAAAGAAAACGCCAAAAGTTGTTGGAGTAGGTTAGAGAAATAAACATTGAAAGAAAAACAATGTGAAAATCTTATATGGGCTTAAATAATACGAGGGCGGGTCAATAAGTCCGTGACTTTTTGAATTTCTGACCTCTTTACTAAAAAAGCAACACTACTCCTGTCAACAGGCATCTGTCAGTTGACTCCTGTCAAAATTTGAACTTGCTGCGTCAGTTAGTTTGTGTTTGACAGCTATCTTTATCAGACTACCCAGTAATTTGAGGAAAAAATGGAAAAAAGTGAATTTCGTGTGCTTATTAAGCATTATTTTTTGCGAAAAAAAATCATTACCGAGACCAAGCCTAAGCTTGATAAATACTATGGGGACTCTGCATCATCGATTTCAATGGTAAAAAAGTGGTTTACTGAATTTCGTTGTGGCCGTACAAGCACTGAAGATGCCGAACGTCCTGGACGCCCAGTTGAGGTCTCTTCACCCGAAACAATCGAAAAAATTCACGAAATGGTGTTGGCCGACCGAAGATTGAATGTGCAAGAGATTGTGGAAGCCGTAGGGATCTCGCATGGCTCAGTGGTTTCAATTTTGAATGATCACTTGGGCATGAGAAAGCTTTCCGCAAGATGGGTGCCGCGATTGCTCACAGTCGACCACAAACGCAATCGTATAACAACTTCACAGGAAGGTTTGGCGTTGTTTAATCGCAATATGGAGGAGTTTTTGCGTTGTTTGTAACCGTGGACGAAACATGGATCCATCACAACACACCAGAGACCAAACAACAGTCAAAACAGTGGGTTTCTAAGGGTGAATCGGTGCCAAAGAAGGCCAAGGTGGGTTTGTCAGCCAATAAAGTTATGGCGACTGTCTTTTGGGATGCACGCGGGATAATCCACATTGACTACCTTCAAAAGGGAAGAACAATCAATGAAGAATATTATGCCAACTTATTGGACCGATTCAATGACGATTTGAAAAAAATCCGACCTCATTTGGCCAAGAAAAAAGTTATTTTCCACCTAGACAATGCAAGGGTGCACACATGTGCAGTTGCCATGGCAAAAATCCATGAATTGGGCTATGAAATGCTCCCTCATCCGCCCTATTCTCCAGATTTGGCTTCGAGTGACTACTTCTTGTTCCCAAACCTGAAGAAATGGCTTGGTGGAAAAAGATTTGACTCCAATGATGAAGTCATCTCGCAAACAAAGGACTATTTTGAGGACCTCGACAAATCATATTTTTTGGAAGGGATAAAAAAATTGGAGAAGCGTTGGACAAAGTGTATAGGGCTCAAGGGAGACTACGTTGAAAAATAAAATGATTTATTTATCAAAAAATCTGTGTTTTATTCCAAAAGTCACGGACTTATTGACCCGCCCTCGTAATTAGACACTGTGTATCAGATTGAGAAAATGGTCAATGAGTATTACAGACAATAAATAAACGTGTAATACATTTCAGACACTAAAAGTAAAATAATATTTTAACTCAGCAAAAATTTATTATATTTTAAGTAGACAGATGGTCAATTTTTACCTTTCGCCCCTAATGAGATGGTTCTCCTTGCCTCTACTCTCCATGCTTCCGTTATAATAAGTAAAATAACCGCGTAATAAGTTTTCCAGTTAAAAATAGAAAAATATGATAAAAAAATTCACGTTATATTAAATTAAGTATGTCTTTTTCTAGGTTGAGTTGTCGCTGTCTTTGACAAAATATTAAATATTGAATGCAGACCAAGAAAATATATTTAACTTATTTCAAAATAATTTTCGTCGATGAGACTTTAATTTTTTTTACTAATAGATCCCTACTTCAGTAATCATTATATTCTGTTTTATTATGTGTTCTAGCAGCTGTCCCATGCTTCTTCATTTTTCTACGAAATAACAATAGAATTTCTATTGGGTTTAAGTTATCATACGACTGAGGCTACATATTATTATAATCTGTGGTCATATTATGTCTGTTTGACGTATACGACGTTGATATAACCTATTTCTGAATTCTGTTAGTGTTTTGGTTTAGTAAAAAAAGTAAATAATTATAAGTCTAATGATTGAATACAGATCACTTTAAATAATATACTTTTGGAATAATTACAGTGTTGCAATGGCACCAAAGAAATATTCGGTGAATGGTATGTTATTATCACTCTATAAAACGTAGAAGCATTATGTACTCTTATGTTTTTATTTTAATGAACAGAATTCACAGTTTGTAATAAACTATTTATCTAATACATTTTCTAGAAAAATCTTTCAATATCGAAATCTTTACTTTCATCTACTTTTATTTTAGACACAGATTCGGGCTCTGAATCAAATAGTGGATCGAGTGCAAGCCGTAGTCGAAGTCCCAGCCCAGCACCTTCAGGGAAAGAAGGCAGTCAGTCCAGGTAAATTAATGAATAATTAAAAGAATATTATATTGTTACTTTTATACATTCACTTACATGAATGCCACGGAAACTGTCACAATTCTAAATCAATATTCTGAAACCAGACAGACAGTAGTAGCCTGTTTCAATAAGTGTGATCCTATTGAAAAAAACAAATGGGAAACTACCTATGTGGTCACTCTTTTTTTATTTGCCAATACTTGGCTTTATGACTACTAAATATTATTTTGTTTGTTTGTTAATTGAGTGTGCTACTCTATGCACATATATATGTGACGGACGTACTGCGAAGTAATGCTAGTGCAGTCCTGCGGTTCTAGGTAGAAGAGTGGAGGGGTTTTTAGTGGGTAAGAATTCCACACTACCGGTCTTCAACAACTTGACACGTGTCTTCTGAAGATTTCCTCCTCTCAAACACCATAAAGAAAAAAAAACATGTGACACTCCACTTAATGTTTAATATTAAATCATGTGTTACATTTCATTGTCACCAGCAACTCAATTCTTTTAATTTATTGAATAGTGATTCATAGATTCCAAATGTATTGTACTATTAACATTATTATTTTCCATTATTTATCAAAAACTACATACCTGTATATAAGTAGGTTATGGAAAGTTGCTCAAGAAGACTGTTTTCAAATGAGAGAGAATCATAATGGTTCTTTGAATTTAGACCCTCGATATAAAGAGTCAATAGCTATGCATTGAGGGTGATAACTCATTTAAATATTCATTTATTAGGAATAATTTACTTTGCACATGAAAAAGGTTATTTTAAGAGCTTATTTTAAGTTGAGATTTAAGTACTGCTTTAAGAAAAAATATATTATCAATGAACTTTCAGAACTTATTTGTTGCATTGTGGTATATCTTAACTGTCTTTTCAGTAATGGGTCTTTACCTACTATCTATACTAATATAATAAAGAGGTAAAGTGTGTAAGTTTGTATGTTTGGGGTAATCTCCGGTACTACTGTTCCAATTTTGAAAATTCCTTCACTGTTGGAAAGGTATATTATACCTGAGTTCTATATACCACTATTTACCGGAATAACCAACATACATGTGGGTGGAGCCATGTCCAAGAGCTAGTGTGTTATAAATGATAAATAGACATACATAAATGAAAGTCTTACATGATCACAATACTTCCCCTATGTATACATCATTATAAACTTTTTTCAAAATTCTATTCATTAAAAGACAATGACAAATCTAAGTGATAGTAAATCAGAACCAGTTTGAGTTACTATCACTTAGATTTTTTACTTACCTAATAATTTTATTTTTTCGGACACCTAAGACACGCCATCTCGTTTTAAACTAAGCAGAACTTGTACTATAAAAGCTAGATTGACTGATAGAATACTCATATACTTTTTTTTTGTATATACATACTATGAGTTTAATTATATAAGTCAATTTTGCTATTCGTCTAGTTATTTCATAACTGAACTTTGCTTTTCGTCGAGTTCTTGCCCTGTCAAATTCTCTTTTCATTATATTACACTTTTAGCCAAATTAAATGGCAAACTCTCTGACTGTCTGACCCGCGAATCGAACTCGAGAGTTGAGCTGAGCAGTAGCATACATATCCACTGCACCACCGAGACAGTTAAAGTGTTTTATTTTATAATATATGGTTTTCTTTTATGGTATAGGGAGGAGGTAAACGAACAGACTGGTCACCTATGCACATTGCCCACGGACCCCTTCATCTTAGAAGAACAAGAGTAGTGTCTCTCTTTGAATGTCCACCCCAACCCACAATTAGCAGGGTCCGGGGGAGCAGGCCCACCGGGAGAGTAACTCACTAATTAGTAAATCTTATAATACTTTTGTTGTTATGTGTTATATCAAATCTGACAGTTTACTTTACTGGTCTTACTTATTTATTTTCATTGTTTAATTATTGAAATACGTGTATTGCTATGTTTTATATGTGTTTGTTATTCCAGATCAGTATCTCGTAGTCCACGCAAATCAGGTAGTGAATCTCCAAAGTCAAACCATTCAGCTCAGTCCAGAAGATCTTCAAATGTTTCTAGAAGCAAGTCGAACTCACCACAACGGTCCAACAGATCCCGGTCAGGGTCTGCACAAAGTCACAAGTCTGGGTTCTCCAGCCCAAAGTCTAATGTGTCTGGGAGCCCTAAACACATAGCTTCACGATCTAGAAGTGGTTCCGGTAGTGTCAGATCAGGCAGTCCGAAAAGCAGGTCTGCTAGTCCAAAATCAGGTCATGAAAGTCCAAAGTCTAGGTCACAGAGCCCCAAATCGGGATCACAAAGTCCAAAATCTCGTTCACAAAGTCCCAAGTCGAGATCTCAGAGCCCAAAGTCTCATTCGCAAAGTCCTAAGGCGGTTTCAAAAGCCAGATCTCGGTCAAAGTCCGGGAGCGGCAGTCCAAAGGCTAGAAAATCGCGGTCGAGGTCAGGAAGTGCATCTTCAAGGTCCAAAAGCCCAGTAGCTAGACAAGATGTTCAGGACAGCAGGTCAAATTCACCAAATCTTATGATTGATGATGAACAGGCTAAAGACAAGTCAAAAAGCAGATCAAGGTTTGTGTCTATTTATTAAAGATATATGGATTTAACCCTCTTCTTTACACGAATGTGGTCATGAATGACCAAGTTTAGTTTAAACTTTTAAAATATTGTACACATATAAACATACTTATACAATTTTTATGGATAGAAGTCATATATGTATACAAATATTTACACTGATCAGGAATCGAATTTTTACAAGGAGATGCTTTACAAAATTAGGTTCCCACATTTTTTGAATGGGAAACTTTGACATATTTTATCATGTTACTTGATTACTTACAGATCTGGTTCAAGGCATTCAAGATCGAAGTCACGAAGCAAATCCAAGTCAAAAAGTCGCTCCAGGTCACGCTCTAAGAGCTCCGAGGGCCAAGTCGGTGAGAACAAAATACTTGTAATTTATTTTAACTTACCACATATGTTCGAACACGTAAAAAAATAATTCATAGTTTAAAGTTGTATGTACAAGACTTGGTTAACTTTGTTAATTTGTTAACTTTGTTAACTTGGTTAATTTTAAATTGCTCCAATTCTTAATAAAAATATAGGCATCTTCACTTTATATAGGCATCTTACAAAATTACATGAATAATCGTTTTACCTGTGGCAAAGCTCAGGTTGCCTCTGACAATCTACGGACGTGTGTTTTGAGTCATCAGATTTTTGTAGCTGTGACCACATAATAGGTACAAACTCTAAATACTTAATAACAAAAGGAGCATGCAGCGTGAATTTATTCAATACTAGTGAAGTCGAAGCGAGTGTTGTAGTGTCTCATAGAATCATAGATTTAAAATATATGGTTAGAATGTAGGTATGACAATTAACAATGGTTTGGCAAGTGTACGAGATCGAGTGATTATGTGTAGAAGTGTAATATGACAGATCCTATATTTTGTAGAGTCAAGACTGATCGGGTACTGTATATTAAAAAAATTAATTATGTGTGTGTATTGTGTTTTAAACAAACAAAACTAACTGGTGGCATCACAAATACTAACAAAATAACAAACTAAAAATCTCGGGCGCCAGATACCACCTTAAAAGAACACAGAACCAACCACAAACACAATAAATGCCTCGGACAACTCGGTCAGCGCTAGACCTTTAATCTAGGACGGGGGGCAGCTAATAAATACAAAGATGTTAAGTTCTAGTGGCAGTTTATTATCCCGTAGTGTCTGTAGAGTACAAAGTATCTTAGGACTCTAATTACAATAGGTAATTCTTATACTCAAATTAGTACTGTCATTAATGCAATCCTTTTCAAATAATCAAAAAAAACAATATAAAATTAAATATGTTTTAAGAGTCACATAAAGACTCAATAAGAAATGAAACTAAGGGTAGTTGTGGCATCGACCTACTCTCTAGTAAAAATAACACCCCTTGGGGGGCCTGCAGTATCCCACGCCACAACGCCAAACCAAATAATAAAAAAACACATACCAAATGACATTGGTTCAGTCCGAACGAAAAGAATACAAATCAAATCTAAAACATCTCACTCCGGTCCCACGTGGTGGAAGAGGCGGGGTAGCATTCCCTGGCTCCTGACAATGGCATGCAGCTAAACAGCTTTTTCTACCATTATAGGTGCTCCACAGCTAACTAAATTCCTGGGGTCAGGCCGGCGGAGAGACAAAATCCAAATGTCACGCAATGACATTCCAATCCAATAAGAATTTAAGGTATAAATAGAAAATTTAGATTTAAACAAAAGATTTAGAATTAAACTAAAAATTTAGAATTAAACTAAAGAAAAAAACCCTGATTCATCTGCAACAAATGAGAATTATAGGTTATTTGCCTATCTCAAAAGATGAATCCTAAATCTGGCAAGATACAATAGTTTACTCACCAGGGTCCCAAAATGTTTCACAAACTAAGCAGCGGCATTATAAATATACCCTGTAACCAAACAAACAAAGATTTAGAACAACTAATCTCGACAAGCCAAGTATGAAGCACGTGGCATAACAAGACTTACCTTTTAACGAAAATAACAACTCGATCAATACAATTTGAGTCTTTAACGAGGTTGGCCAAATAATAAAAATAAGAAATAAGCCCTCGTTACAACAAAAAGACTACATTTTAAAAATCTAAACTTCTTCGACTCGGACCGAAGCTAAAGTGACGCCATAAATGCCTTTTAACAATGACGCGTCCAAATGTTGCCAGATCAAGAAAAACTAAATCGATAACTACCATAGACGATCAGCATCGACTAATACTCTCTGAAACGTCATAAAATTCAACTAAAAAACCAAAAACACGTCTATGATTCAATTTACTGTAATGGTGCGAAATGCACCGTTACAGTACCTATATGAATTCATATCAATAATTGTTCTGTAGTGTCATAGTCTAACGTTTGTAGACATTTCATAACTTATTTCTTCAATTCATATCGATTTTGTTGTAAATATTATTGTGTAAATATAAATAGAAGTGTCTTTGTGCTAGTTTTGTTCTACAGTGTACAATATAGCATACCTTATCATGAAATATCATTTACGTTTTATGAAATAGATTAAGCGGTCATATATGATTGTATTCTACAATCATATATGACCGGTGCTCATTACGACGTGTGCCACTAAAAGCTGTCTAACCATGAGCACCTGCATGCTGTAATATAAAAAAAATTAAAAAAACTTTATTTGTGTGTAAGTGCTGAATGTAATTTGTAAAATGTCAGAATCCAAATGTAACGCAATGACATTACAATCCAATAAGAAAATAAGGTATAACAAGAAATTTAGATATAAATTAAAAAATTAAGGTATAACTAAAAACTTTAGATTTAAATTAAAGACCCTGATTCATCTGCAACAATGAAAAGTATAGGTTATTTGCCTATCTCAAAAGATGAATCCTAAATCTGGCAAGATACAATAGTTTACTCACCAGGGTCCCAAAACGTTTCACCAACAAAGCAGCGGCATTATAATTAATTCCTGTAACCAAATAAACAAAGATTTAGAACAACTATTCTCCATAAGCCAAGTATGAAGCACGTGGCTTAACAAGACTTACCTTTTCAATGGAAATAACAATTCGAACAAAAACTTGACTCTTTAACGAGATTGGCCAAACAATAAAATATAAAATATGCCCTCGTTACAACAAAAAGGCTACATTTTCAAAAACTAAACCTTACTACGACTCGGACCAAAACCAATGTGACGCCATAATGCCTTTTCACTATAACGCGTCCAAATGTTGCCAGAACAAGAAAAACTAAATCGATAAATTACCATAGACGAACAGCACCGACTATTATTCTCGTCCACCTCATCGACAATCGGCACTCGCTGAAACGTCATAAAATTCAACTGACAAACTAAAAACACGTCGATGATTCAATTTACTGTAATGGTGCGAAATGCACCGTTACAATGTCTTCATATAGTTGGACTGTGGGGTACCGGAATAGTTTTCTACTCATCTCTTTGAGGATGGCTGGTTGAGATCTTTTTGGTGTGTATATTTTAATAGGTGTTCGCAGCACTTCAAACAGATAAAATAATATAAAAATGACTCACTAAGTGAGTAATATTTTTTTTTTATTTTATTCTCGAGTTAACAAACAGTAACTACATCGACTTTATAAATAAATATATAATTTACTTTTTAAAATACAATATTTAATACTTCAGTTGAGATAGCTATTATAAACTAAGTTTACCAATTGGCAGTAACATTAAGTTATAGTGATACTAACCTGCCCTATGTCAAATGATTTAAGTGGGTAATAATTGCATCATATCTCTTTTAAATGTTGCAAACTTGTTACTAAAAATATCAATAGTGACAAAATGATTATTATAGCTATCAGCAAGTCTGTAATATGGTGAACGTTTACCAGCATTTGTTCTACAAACTGCAGTTAAAAATATTCGATGAGGATGAGGTTGGTCGAATAAGGAATATACATTTTTTTTTTGTTATATATACTCGTATATACTATAGCATATTTTGTTATTTAACGAAATACAATCGTATGTATTATGACATATATCATACAATAACATAATTTCTAATAGTGTACCTCTAGACGTTAAGTAAGTTAGTAAATTAGAAATAGCCATTTTATATCGCAGTCATATCCTTGTGTAGAGCAGTGTCACTGGCGCAAGTAAAAATCCTGCAGCTTCATTTGACAGAGATCGTCGATGGAAAAGACAGCGCACTAAGCCAGTAGTTATTCCTGATTTGATGTTCCGTTTAGATCGAGATGTCGTATGGGTTATAGCAATTGTTTTGGTGATTTGATTTAAAGGTAATTTGTAGCAAAGTTGAGGTCTTGTAAGAACAATACAGGATAAATGTATGTTTTAAAGAGATCCTCTATTTTTGACTCTTAGTTCACCTCTAAGAGAAATGACAAATAGAAATGCAATTATTTTTTGTTGTTTTCCATTAGGTGAACAAAAAAAACGCGCTGTTCTTTCTGATTCGGACAGTGAGGATGGAGCGAATAGTGTTTCCAAGCGCAAGAAGGGCTCTGACAGTGGTTCTGACACCGGTAGTAAGCCCAAGAAGAAGTCTAAGAAGATTGTTGATACAGATGATGAAGAAGAAGGAGAGAAAAAGGACGGGGAAGGTGGTAAGTAATACAAGATATTTATTACGATATTGGATGTGATGGTTTCAATTCTTGTACGTATACCTATCTAAATAATTCACACATCACATAATACATTAATAGCCCTTGATAGTCCACCGCTGGGCATAACCCTCTCCTTAGAAAAGAGATTTTGGCATACTATGCCGTTCGTTTGCGTACTGTTCTGTCTGTGTGCTCCCTTAGTCGGCTCTTGCGACACCCACGAGATGATGATAGGTGACACTTCGTTTTCTAAATCACCACACGGAACCTAATTGGTCTACATAATTATTATCATATATTATAGGAGTTTTGCTTCGCCATGTATGAGCCATATACCACGGCCTTACATAAAACCGATTTAAAGCCATTCTTTCTGTGCATTTTACCACCGAGTGGTCCTAACTCTTCGCAAAAGGCGGCAGTAGTCTCCTACCATCAGGCAAATGTAATAGAATAAGTAGACTAATTTAACATTGTTACCACAGTGACGGCGGACGCGCTGTTCGGTGACGCGTCCGATATAAGTACCGACGAAGGCGGTGACGACAAGGCATCAGAGCGGTCGCGCTCTCGCTCCCGCAGTCGTAGCCGTAGCCGCAGCGCGAAGGGCTCCGATGACGAACGCCGATCTGGAGATGAGGCTAAACGTAGTGGGGATGAGGTACAAATATTCACTTAATAATAATTATAAAATAAACCCAGGATTTGATGGCTATGGAAGTCTTAGCTCCAAGTCTATGGTTAGCAGTTGAATTGATGATGAACTTAAAGCAAGCTCGCACGCTATATCAATTTGACCTATACACATACACGCTATATTAAGTTACCTACTTAAATGGGACTCCAAAATATTTTGAACAAAATTGTAGAAAGTTACAGAAACTAGTTTTATACCTATTTTACGTTACCTATGTAAGGCTAGTGGTTAGTGATCGTAACTTCTAAGCCAAAGGTCCTGGGTTTGATACCCACCCAAGACAAATAGTTGTGTGATGACCACACTCACACCACATAAGTATGTTTATCAGAAATCTGTTAACTATAACACTAAATGTTAAATAGTACAGAGTAGTCTAGTTTCGGTTCAAATGGTCCTGCCTTATTTCGTGTGTGAGATGTGTTAAGTTAATATTATATCTGTCATGTAGTAGAAGTAAGTACTACTATATACACTAACTATAAACTTCTACTCAATAAAAAACAGGAAAATCGTGAGAAACCAGAGGAAGAGGAGGAAGTTGAAATCCCAGAGACCCGTATCGATGTAGACATGCCTAAAATATTGACGGAATTGGGCAAAGAACTGCACTTTGTCAAGTTGCCTAACTTCTTGTCGGTGGAGACGAGGCCTTATGATCCTAACACTTATGAAGACGAGATTGATGAAGAGGAAACTTTGGATGAAGAAGGAAGAGCTAGGTAAGCTTAATATCTATCCTGTATCATCTTGCATAATGGCTGAGTAACCATTGAACGAGGCGTGGGAGAGCCATGCTTCGGCATACAATACATGGCTCGGGCCCGGGCTCGAGCCCGGGCTCGTCCAGAGAGAGAGAGAGAGAGAGAGCCTTCTTATACCATAAAAAAATTATATGGTTACTTGGCCTCTAATTTTATCCATCCTCAATTTCATTTAATTAGTGGTTGCTCTGACGCCGGAATTTTACAGTAATTAATAAAATTATTGATAAACAAAACAATAATTTGTTAACTATAGTAATAAAAATGCAATTACAATTTGTTTTTCTTCATTTATCACCTTAGGATAGAATAATAGGAGACAAAAGTACTGACCAACTCTTGTATTTATCTGTTTATAGACTGATGTTTCTTTGAAGTAACAAATTAGTAAAGCTTTGCGTATTACTAGTGTGTCTACTAAATTTATAAATGTATTTAAGCTATGCCTGCATTCTGAAATTAATTATAGCATACTGTTACGTCTTTACACCTTAAATGTTCTCTAGTTTCGTTATTTTAAACCAAGTTAAGAGGGTTGTAATTTTTGTTATGTTTGCTAGTTTATTAAACATTTTTTTTATATTTGTTGAGGTATTTATTTTCGCTTGGTTTCATGTTAGCTTGTAGGAAAAATACTATCTCTAAGGGTAGAAAGATAATGGATGGACACACAGCCTTGCTTTTCATTATCTGATCGTAAATAAGTAAGTAAAAGTAAGTAAACTTAAAACAAAAAAAAAGAAGTGTCGGCCAAAAAGTATTATTACACATTTTTCGGTCTCGCCCCCATCCGTTCAGATCATGTAACGTGCGATAAGGGACCAAAGGGGGAAAGCAATACCTAAGATTGAATGCTGTACATAATATTCGAAACTTATTATTTTCAGGCTTAAACTGAAAGTGGAGAATACAATTCGCTGGCGCACAGTGTTCGACAAGGACGGTAATGCTGTCAAAGAGTCAAACGCTCGGATGGTGAAATGGTCTGATGGAAGCATGTCCCTACATCTTGGCTCGGAAATATTTGACGTTTATAAACAACCTCTACACGTTAGTACATTTATAATAATAATAAATCTCATTTGTTCTGGTATCTTGGGAACCTAAAAATTGTTTCACATATAGAAATTAAATATAGTATCATGAAATTTGATTTTGTTGCTGAAACCTTTTTTTTTAATGTATTTATTTTAAAAGACTTAGTTTAACGCCTATATTTTGATTATTCCTCTAAGACTAGTTTAAACTGCTTTTTTTCCTCCACAGGGAGATCACAACCATTTGTTCGTACGCCAAGGTACGGGTCTGCAAGGCCAGGCCGTGTTCCGCACAAAGCTGTCCTTCCGACCTCACAGCACTGAGTCGTTCACTCACAGGAAGATGACACTGTCTCTAGCGGACAGGTCTACTAAAACTTCGGCTATTAAGATACTTTCCCAAGTTGGCGCCGATCCAGACGCCGATAGGAAGTATCAACTCAAGGTGAGACTTGTAAAACGACCAAAAGTGATTATTCAACTAAGATTTTTACCTCTACGAAGAGAGATACTGCGGCCTCACAGAAAACTGGTATTAACCAATTCTTTCGTTGTTTTTTATCAAGTGAGTGAGGTTGCCGGAGCCCAGCACCCCTTGATTTTTGGTAACTTCCTCCACTTGATTTTGGGGAACTTCCTCCCCTTGATGTTGGGGAACTTCCTCCCTTAATCCCTTTGATTTTATGGAAGTTCTTCCCCTTGATTTTTGGGTAACTTCCTCCCTGTGATTTCGGGTAACTTCCTCTCCTTGATTTTGAGTAAGTAATTTCCTCGCCTTGATTTTGAGTTAGTAACTTCCTCGTCTTGATTTTGCGTCAGTAACTTCCTCCCCTTGATTTTGGAGGTAAGGTTCAAAGGGCGATAACGCACTTACGACTCTTGAGTGCAGGTGCCTATGGGCGATGGTAGTTACTTACTATCGGGTGACCCGTCTGGTCGTTTGCTCTTTAATTCGAATAATTTATTAATAACTTAAATGTGCCGTATGTGTAAATTAGATAGGACAACGTAGTAAAATCAGCTAGTATTACAAAAATGAATATCCTTAAAATGATAATAACGAAAATATCATTATATAAACTAAACGTTTACATAATTACTTATGTATTCTTTTGTATCTATATTCGTGAGGACCTTTAATTGGCTCGTCGTTTCATAATATGTCTATGTATAATCGTGAACTGTGTGTGCTGTTGGTCTTCCGATGAAAAAGAAATAAAGGTAACGTTAAGTCGTAGAACGTAATTAGGTGGTAACAATAATAATGTTCGGTGCAGAAAGAAGAGATGGAGCTCCGCGCGGCCATGCGGTCCCGCGCGTCGAGCCGGCCCAAGCGGCGCGGGGCGGCGCGCGGCACCGCGGCGCAGCGCGACGACTCCGAGGACGAGGGCGGCGTCTCGCTCGCCGCCATCAAGAACAAGTACAAGAGCGGACAGAAGGGTGCGTATGCACACCGTTTCACTTACTAATACGATTTGACTGCACGTATACCGTAGTAGTTTAAGCGGTCACTTCCCCGCTTCCTACTGTGCTAGGTGGTGTGGCCTCGATCCCCACATGGGACAACACTTTGTGTGATCAACACATTGTTGTTCTAAGTCTGGATGTCCATTGTGACCATTTCATGTATGTTTGTAAAGTCCCCCGCGATACAGGATTTCTAATGCGGGAGTAGTATTTGAAAAAGAAAAATATCTCACACATTTCCGTCTGATCCCAAACTAGGCAGAGCCTGTGCTATGGTAATCAGACTACTGATAAACATACTTATATATTTTTAAACAAATACATATAATAGATAAATTACACCCAAACCCAACAAATGAGCGGGCGTTGCACACAATATTCGTCCTGGATGGGAATCGAACCCACGACATCTGGCTTAGCAGACTGTGTCACTAACAACTTGACCGACAGACTCCTAATTATATACAGAACATCAAAATTAATAACAGATATACCACAGGAGTAGAACAAACAGCAGAATATCTTTTAGACTCACTCGTACCTGACGATCGACCGGAAAACGACACTGATCATCACCGACAGATCAGGCAGTGGGCCATCGAACCACCACTGTCTCCAATGTCTGATTTACCATCTTCAGACGAATTTCTCGGTATCATTAGATCCTTGCCGCTAAACAAGGCTTCGGGTGATGATAAAATATCTAACAAAATGATAAAAGAAGCTTGTAAACTTTCGGGTGACACGATTTTCACTGTCTTTAAACGTTGCATTGCTGAAGGAATATTTCCTCGTATATGGCGGTGCGGTAATATTCGTATAATACCAAAAAGTGGCGACAAGCCACCGGATGATCCTAAATCCTACCGACCAATCACATTGTTACCATCGTTAGGAAAGCTTTTAGAACGTCTTGTAGTGCCCCGGCTTCTGCCAGGTGGAGTCAAATTTCATGATAGACAATTTGGATTTACGTTGGGTAAATCGACAACTGACGCTGTTATATCGGTTAGAAAGTTTGTCACAGAGTCAAAATTTCAATACGTGCTGGCTATTTTCTTAGATATATCTGGCGCCTTCGACAACGCATGGTGGCCCATGCTGTTGCTGAAATTAAAATCACGGGGGTGTTTTAAAAATATTTATTCCCTTATCTGTTCGTACTTTTCACAAGGTACAACTAAACTAAGACTTGGTCATCATTCTGTGTCGAAGGCGCTTACAATGGGATGTCCTCAGGGATCGGTGCTAGGTCCATACTTGTGGAATATCGGCTTCGACGATTTTCTTACGATACCAATACCATCCGGATGTACTCTGAACGCGTATGCTGATGACGGCTTATTACTGGTGGAATCTGATACTATTGCGGGGCTTGAGAGATTAGCCAATAGATGTTTGAACTTGATATCTCAATGGGGTGAACGTAATCGCTTAACTTTTGCACCCAACAAAACCTTCCAGTTACTTTTAAAAGGTAACCTCAAATCACCGCCGAGCATTAGATTTGACAATGTTACTGTAAAAAATAAAACCACAGTGTGTTATCTAGGATTAGTTTTAGAAAGAAACTTTTCATTTATCGAACATATTAAAATAGTTAATGAAAAGTCTAAAAAGAGTTTCTGTGCATTGACAAGGATATCAACTGCGACATGGGGTCTATCATTTAATACATTAAAGATCATATACGGAGCTACTTATTTAGGTTCTATGTGCTATGGTGCACCTGTATGGGCCGATAGGGCGACCGTAGGCGCTGTCCGTCGCAAACTGTTACAAGGCCAACGACTTGCACTGATATTTTTGTGCAAGGCATATAGGACGGTTAGCACTGAGGCTTTGCCGGTGTTGGCAGGTGTCCTTCCGGTCGATCTCGAGGTGCAGAGACGTGCAGCCATGTACTATTCAAGACAAAACATGAAATGCGATTTCTTGGGCGCGCGGGATCGCGGTAAAATTACAAGATTGCTTCAACAGCAGTCCGATGTCTATAATGACCTCATAGACGAATGGCAGCAACGCTGGGACGAATCATCCAAGGGGCGCCATCTTTACCAATTTTTTCCATCTGTTCGCGAACGGTTGTCGAGGACATGGCTTGAGGTGGATCACTGTGTCGCTCAATTTCTTACGGGTCATGGTAACTTTAAGAGCAAGTTGTATTCATTTAAATTAGTCGAGTCACCATTGTGTCAATGCTCAACACCTAACTCTCATTATGAACAGTCTGCTCATCATATCCTCTGGGAATGTAGTCTTTGGTATAATGAACGTAATATAATGCTGAATAGCTTGCAGGTGACATCTGGGGCGGTATACTATGGGGATCTTGTGTCAACTAGGGTGAATTTCCGTGCGTTTAGGCGATTCTGCCATACATATTATAGAAATCAAATATAGCTCATGTAGGACCCGTAATATTTGGTGGCCGTGGTGCTTCCCTGTTTAAAAGGGTGTATGCCTATTTTACTTCATTTTGTCTCCCGCTTTGCTAAGGAGGGAAGTGGATTTACTGTATTTCCAACTCCTCCAATTTTCTTCTGATTAACTTCGTTGCGGGTTCCAAGACAGTTTAATTTCTTCCTGGGACTTCCCGAGTGTCATAACTCGGTGTGTTCGTGGGTCACTGCTGTGGATCCTGGTGTACAGGAGTTACAGTGGTGGGCGTGTGGGTGGGATTAGTCCCAATAAAAAAAAAAAAAAAAAAAAAAAAAAGACTCCTAATTATTACTCAGATGTAGTAAAATATTTATTGCCCTTAGTGATCAGTGTTTAGACACAAGTCTATACGCATTAAAAAAATAATGTTGCAATAGTGTTACATTGATCAAGCCCAACCGATAATTTGTTGGAGGAGTTTAGAATTAAGTCAGGAGGCCGAGTGTCGATCCACGCGTTACTATTATCTTGGTATTTAACTATGGTGTGATATATGTATTAGTTCTAAATAATTGGCCTATATCCGACTTCAAAAACACTTCTCTTTTTTTCCTTTTCGTTCTCATTGTGCTATTCTCAGAACTCATTTATGAAACAATTCGTAAATTCTCTTTTAAATTCTGATAATAAAATAATGATCCCATTCAAATTTCGAAAAAAAAATTCATGCCATAAAGGGAGGGATGAAGGATGCAGTTTATCAAAGCCTTGAGGGATGAAGGATACAGTTTATCAAAATTCATTCTGTTAATTATTTCAAAATTTCTTTTAAAAATCATTATTTGCATGTTTCAGCATCAGCAGGCGCAGCGATATACTCGTCGGAATCGGACGGGTCGGACGTGGAGACGCGGCGGGCGAGGCGCCTGGACCGCGCCAAGGCCCTCAAGGACTCCGACGACGAGGGCAGCGACGGCGACGCCCCCGCCGACCAGAACACGCCGCGCCGCACCAGCAGCGCCAGTGGCTCCGCCAGCGCCAGCGAGTAGATCCTCCACTATACTCCAGACTCTATTTGGACTTCACCGATACGAGACGGATAAACCTCAACTAGGTTTCAATATACAGGTACAGGATATACCATCGTCCTACAACCTTCAGGCCATGGATACAGTTCATCGACACCACTGTCGCTGTCACTGTAAGATATATGACTATAAGCCCTGTAGCATGTCAAGTGAAATAAGTAAGAAAAAATGCTTGAATTACCTTTTAATATTAGGAGCAAGGATTTTTCCTATGATGAGCGATTATGGTGAACGATGATGCTGTATTCTTACTTTGTATAATTATATTTTGACTTGTAAATATATAGATTTTTAAGTGATATATGTTGGTTTTATTTTATTATTGCAAAGATAGTTTAATCAGCTTTGCAGATTAGGAATATTTCAGAAAAAGATGGTTAATACATAAACATATGTTATAGAAAAGGGAAATCATATTCTGGGAACATTTAGTAGAACCCGTAAATGTTGTAAGGAGCTAAAAAAATTAGTACAATTCGTGATTTTTGCACAGTAATATTATAGTAAAACTAATCAAATTTAAAAAATAACCGATATTGGGATCTACTGTAACCTGACTCAGTTACAAGCAATTTAAGAATTACTGCGGTCGACCCGGCTCATATCTGGCGAAGCTTGGCCATCCCACGAGTCTGAAGTTTACGGATTCGTTATTCTGAATTCCACCTTCAAATGACAATTAAAATAAAACTACATACAAATATAAAAATATGTCATTGCTTTTTTAAACTTTCCTTCTTCTTAACGACTGTTGGATTCAGACCTAAACTCTTATTAACTTCCAACAAGACTTCTCCTTCATATATAATTCTGCCTACGCCAATTATCTTCCAGATACCCTCATCTTCTTTAGTTATATTCGGTATGGTGAACCCACATTTATTGAAGTTGGTCGAGTTTCTATTGTAAAAACGGTCGAATGTACTCCTAGGTGCTACAATCTCGCAAGATTTTATATCAGGGAACGGGTAGGGAAAGCTAAGGTTAAAGGTATTCCCTACGTTCAGTCTTGGTTTGGCTGGCTCTAATGTGACAAATGCTGAAAAATTACATAAGTGTTTTGTTATTAATTACAAATTATCATGATGTGAAGGCGCTTTGAAGAAAGGGATACTTTAAAAACTAAGGGTTCAAATCGGTTCATGATTGACAGAGATCTGAAGGCCAATTGTTGTATTTTCGTAGTAAAATAGTTAAGTATTAATAAGACTAGCAGATTATCGATTCAATTTTCGGTTGCAATACAATATAATCACATTGCAGTCAACGTTGGGTGTTTAATACTTTACTAGGAAACTACCTTTTATGACAGCTGTGAGATCAAAATTTAGTCAGAACTGAATTGAGACCGAACTTTTATTACGAGAATTGGCCTTCTGAGGTCAAGGATCATCCAAAAAATACGTCACATGTTAAAGAGACCGGTCAAAGAAGGATATTGCGTGATAAGGGGCGGCAGCGGTCCTAAGTTTCATGACGTCACATTTGGAAATTTTATACATCTAAATATTAAAACGCGAAATTTGAATTATAGTGATATAATTCGTTGCCTGTTTCGTTGATTGTTTGATTGATTTCATTAAAAAATAACTTACATGAAAATAAAGTAATTTCGATAAGTACAATCGCAGAATATGTGACGTCACACTAGAGAGTGGGTAGTCTCACAAATGTGGCCATCTATGATAAAGACGGGGGTGGGGGTCTAAAACCCTGAAATTGGTGACGTAATTAATGGATGGACCCTAACAAACATCTAAAAAAAAAAACATAAATTGAATTGTGCACTCCCTCCTTTTCTTTGAAGTGGGTTAATAGTACAAAAATTTATAATTTAATAAAACGTTTAGGGCAGTCCGCACAACGATACTTCGCGTTTTTTTTTATTTGATTGGATTTATATCCAAACTGGTGAAAAAAAAATCCGTGATAGAAGTTCAATGATTTGATGCATATTGAACGCGATACATACACGATAAAACCTCTCAGTGAAATATCCCTGTGCGGACGGGCCTTTAATATGTAAATTGAAAAAAAAGTAGAATATAAGTATTTTCATATACTTAACGAATTACTGTTTGTCGTGTGAATGACAGTTATAATTAATACAGATTGATGCATCGTGTAAACACAATCAGCAATTGAATCGATCACATTCTTAAAGTAAAACTGCGAACCTACTAACACAGAAACGATCTTTCAATACTTACATGTTATTTCCATTGTAATCACTTGAAACAGTTCAATCCATTCGTCATCTAAATCTCTAGTATAAGTACTTAAAACCCAGTTTCCAAAATCTTCCTCTAAAAGCGGTCCGACCAGAAACTCGTTCGAGTCTAAATTTCGAAACTTTTGGTCAAATTCGTCAGCATTGTATGCACGATGACTATTTTTTTGCTTTACAATAGCAAGCGAATTTTCTAGAAAAGTGACAGATATTAAGTCGTATGTTCTTGTGCTGCTTAATTTCTTTGGTGCTTGCAATTTTAATTTGATCACGTCTCCATTTGGTTTTGATATATAATATTGGTCATATTTGTTAATCACTGGCGCGGACAATCTGACCACGTCATTAAGCAGACACGGAATTATAAGCGGTTTGATAGGTATCTTCGTCTTAGCTGGAAATAAAAAAAGAAGAATACATGAAATAATTATAATGCATCGGTGGTGCAGTAGTAGCACATGCGACTGCTGTGCTGAGGTCTCTTGTCTGATTGACGGGTGTTTCATCACGGATCACGGGATCACGAATTTAACGGCATGTTTGCATGATCTGCAAATATTTGTTTCGGAGTTTGGGTGTTTTCTATGTATATTATGTATTTATTTAGGAACAAAAAAGTTAATAAGTATTCTATCAGTCAATCTAGCTTTCATGGTACAAGCTCTGCTTAGTGTGAAACTAGATGGCGTTTTGTGTTAGATGTCAAAAAAGAGAAAAAAATGGCAATTATTTTTTTTTTGTAAATAATATTGATTAATAATAATTTATTCTTTTTGTAAGAATAAAGAATTAAAAAAAGTAGAGGACCGTTTATCCATAATGAAAACAAAAAAGATTTTACATCAAAGACAGTGTAACGACAATTTAACCCTTAGATCATTCAGACAGGAACATTTTTATTATCAGGGGCAAACAAGAATGCCTGTCATCTGATGGTACGTAATATTGGTATTGCTGTCCTTTCCGTACCACCTATCGGATACCACCTATCGGTGGCATGTCGGACTCGAACCGACTAAAACCGCACGCCGTCTCGGGTACCAATAGCCGGGGAACCAGGCATACCCTAGATAGGAAGTCCCTGGTGCATGGGAAGTCCCTGGTGCATAGGAAGTCCCTGATGCATAGGAAGTCCCTGGTGCTCCTTTCCGTACCCTACCCCCCTTTTAATTTTCTTCTTTTCTTTTCTCTTTTTTCAATCATAATCTTTCATTCAAAAGCCATTTCTAGCATTTAGGCAGTAATTCAAGTATTATATTAATAATAAATACTTAAACATAAATATTTTCCTACCGTGGGAGAGTCATGCGCTTGTGATTCTTGAGTTGTAGGTGTTGGACGGTGGTAGTCACTTACCATGAGGTAAACCGTCTGATCATTTGCCCCATAAAATATATAAAAGAAATGATTCACCTTCAATTCACGATCAAATTAAATAAACAATTATTTTAAGTAATGACTAAGTATTAACACAGGTTTTTAACAGTATTAACACATATTTACAAGTAAGTAAAAATAGTTAGTAACGTTTGCCCTTGCGTGCATGTACATGCAAGGGCATATATTAAAATGAATGCATTAAACTGACAAAGGTCTGTTAAACTCTGTTGTTGCACGATTTTTTATTTTGTAGAAACCATTTTAAGTAACTCATACATTTTATTACTAGTATGTGTTAGTAAAGTCTTTGCGTTTGGCGTGAACTCATTTTACTCATGTTGTTTCTCATAAGCTCTTGTAAGAAGACTTATAAAACCGGTCAGGTACGAGTCGAACTCGTGCGCCGAGGGTTCCGTACCTACCCAGATTTTACGTAGATTTTCGCGAAAATTAGTAAATACAAAACTTTATCTTAATTTTCAACTTTTTTATTTTTTGGAATTATTCCTTTATTTGTTCTGTAAGACGTTTCTTTTTGCCAAACTTCGTGATTCTAGGTCAACGGGAACTACCATATAGGTTATCGACCCAAAATACCTATAGGGTACTTCCGGTTGACCCAGAATTGTCAATTTTGGTTAAAAGCACGGTCTTACAGCAAAAGTAAGGAGAAAGTTCTGAAAAAGAAAATTAAGGTAAATTTTGATACTTACAAGTTTTCGCGAAAATCGAAATTTGCCCATATAATTTTATCTGGTATAACTTTCAACTTGCTAGGTCTACCCGTTCCTGAGAAAATCGGTGGTGACACACGGATAGACGGAGAAGAAAGTGATCTTATAAGGGTTCCTTTTTTACCTTTTGAGGTACGGAACCCTAAAAATATGTTTTTTTCACGATCCATCTTTACGTTTAGATGGTCAGAAGAAAAGGGAATAAATACTGTAGTTCTCTCTAGAGCAAATTACTGGTTTCGTTGTTTATCAAACTCTAAGTACTTACTCTACCGAAAGAAAGCCATGTTGTTTCGCCATAAACTTGCTGGTTCGACTAATTTCTCAGAAAACCGATGTTAAAAGTTCTTTCGTTGCTTTTCACCGAATGACTGAGGTTAACACCTCCCCCACCCAACCACTAGGCCTCTCCCCCCTCCCCACAGTTTCGGTGAACGTTGAGGCCTAGTGGTTGAGGGGAGGGGAGGTACCCCTTGTTACTTCCTTACCAAAACCACGGTCACGTCATCTTAGAACCCAGTAAAAATCTGCTATGTTCTACTCAGTGTACTAAAGCATAAAAATAGATAGAAATGTATTTTAATAAATTTCTAATTCTACATCTACTACCAAACTTCAAATTGTAATGACTGTCTATGATCAACAAATGTTAAGTACAATAGACCACACAAAACTTTACAAAAATATTTAATTGTATTTCAATATATAAATATTGAATTTATTATATATTACAAAATATATAATAAATTCAATAGATACATAAGATTTTTGCTAGTATATTAATATCTTAAACCTGTACAAAATATTGTCTATGACATCCTATAGTACTAAATATGTAGGGTTAGGTATTTTAATACTGAAGAATATGTTTCACTGTTTTAAAGCAGACTCATATTTACATGTCATAATCATTATCAAAAGACTTTAGTAAATCACTGCTGGATATAGGCCTCTGAGTAGGAAGGAGGTTTTGACCTATACCACGCTGGCCAGACGGGCTTACCTTCTCTTTGCAGTGCTGTTATCCTGCGTAGTTTGTTCCCTTAGTCAACTCCTACGACAGCCACGGGCTGAATATGGGTAGTGACGTTCCGTATTCTAAATCTGTCACCACACGGATAAGACGTCAATCAAGAGTATTCAGTCAAATAAGAAGAGAGTGAGTCAAGATTTAATTGCAGATAAAAGCCACCAGTGGTTGGTGGTGATTTTGGGAGTGTTTAGGTAAGTTAGGAAACAAATTAGATTAGACACCGACCTTCTTGGCGACATCCTGAACCTTTTCGCACAAAAAATGCATGTTAGCATGTAAACGACGTATTATTTTACGCTCGTTCGCCAAGCCCACTTTCAACGTCCCTCATCTGAACTTGGCCTTACAGCGCTAAAACAATCGTAACTCATTGCTAAACATATTTAGTTAAAATTTCTTATCTTACAGTTAAAATAAGTGCAGAAGCATATCTTCTCAGTAAACATAGAGATAAAAAAACAAACATTTTGTGCTATTTACTTGTGATCTTGAAAGATCACTTTTTTATCTTTCAAGGTGATTAATGTTAAATTACATTAAGTCTAAGTTGAGATTGCTCGCCATCGAGAGCGAATCGATATGAAATAAACTCACACTAGGTCCTAAGAAAGGAAAAGTTTACAAGTCCCAAAAAAACAATCGCTCTTTTCTAAAGAAAACATCTATTACACTGAAGGGAAGCATAAACATGAAAAACAACTAAAAATACCAGTGTTCGAATTGTTTATAAAAGTAACGCTAATAATCACCAACAGGAATACAACATGTAATGTTCGCAATATTTTATGAGGAGCTCATGCGATGTTAAACGAAATCTATCACGATAATCGTTACTATGTTACAGTAAGTTATAGTTGCAATCTACCTACAACTATTCCTGCGCCACGACTTTACAGTGTCACACGGCACACATACTCGTATTTCCAATTATTTATATTTAGAAGTTCTAAATTTTCGTGAAATTTATTGTCACAATTATTTACCAATTGGAGAAAATAAACAAAACATTCAGTATGTTTTAGTGTTACGTTGTGAATGTAAGTTTGGATCGAAATTACTGGGCGTATCGGTATTTTCTGTAGTTTCATTTCAAGATACTACATCTTTTTCCAGACTTTTAGTTAGAGTTTTATTTTAAAACTAGTAATTAAACTCAAAAAAAGGTATAGTTTTACAAGTTTTTGTGATGATGTTGGTGATGCACTGATTTGTTGTACGTTATAATGTCATCAAGATTCAAAGTAAGCCAACTAAAATTAAGCTATGAAATTATAGGTACTGAAAACAAACTAAGATAATATGAAAGTAAGAGAAAATAACATAAAAGACAAAAGATTAGAAACATCTTTAATTAATTTACATTACAGTTCTCTTAAGTGTTTAAAAAACGTGTAAAATTTCAACGTTCTGAGTCTGGATAAATTAAAAAAAAAAAACAGTAAGGATTTCAAATACACATTAATTCATAGACCAGAAAGAAGAATCTAGAAAAAAAATGCGTTTTACATGTTCCAGCCGAACACGATACGTATGCAGTCATAGCTATTAACAAGACCGTTGATTGATTTTTAATTTGTTTCGCGTAATAAAATGGTACTTAATTATCAGTTGTGCTTGTAGAATGTGGTCAATGATGTTCTACTTAAGTAACGAGGTGATTAGAAATCGGATGGCACGTCTTTTTTATACACAGAATATGGTCACACACAAATAATTCGAGATAAATGTATCCATATAACTGCTAGGTATATGTCGTCTAAAAATTCTGTGTTGTGGCAAAGTAGGAAGAAGGGGTCCCAATTCATCCTGATTTCAGCAATCGTAAATGTTCAATAGGACTCCAGAACGGTAAGAAAAGCATTCCCCGCGTAAAAAAAGGTATTATTAAAATACGATCATCACAGTTTTCATTTTAAATGTTCGCTATAGACATAACTACTCGTAACACTTAGATTTCCAACTAACATTAAGCTCGAATGCATTCGGACTCTTCGGACACATTCCATAGATAAGGCATGTCTTAAAAAGATCGCAAAAGACAATTCAACTAAATGTAACAACAAGTTGTTAAAAATGATTTTTTTAAACGGATATTACAGAACTATTTATTAAAATGCTGTTAAAATATCAGAATTATGGAACTTGAAATTTAGGTATTTGCTCCGTGGGTACACATTACACTATTAGGTAGAGAGCCTTAAGGATTTTAGTTTTGTGTATGAAGAATTATGATTTACTTCATGTGGTTACCTGTCGTACCTATAAACTTTCTGAAAAGTTTATTTAATTACAAAGAACTCGGTACTTAAAGTCTCGTTGTTCAAGTACAATAAAAACTGCTGGGAGATGCCTTTTATCGGTATTATTACTGATTTCGTCAATAAAATAAATTAATTTAAACCTTAAAGAAACTGTAAAATATATAAGTCTAAACGTGAATGTTAACTATTTAGAATCCCGAAAACAGATTTAAATAATGCCCGTAATACATAAAATAGGAATTTTAGTCCATTTTTTTTTGTTTTATGCTATACTGTCCATTGTAGGTTAAATGTCCGAAATATTACAGCATCTTCTACCAGGTTATATTCTGTGTTTAAATCATCTACAGAAGAAATTAATACAATAAATTAATTAATAATCCTAGAAATTGTTTGCTTCGCCACGTATCGGGCGGGTTCAATCGTAATCGTAAATGCACGCACCCAGACAGACACACACGAAGAAGAACATTAAAATCGCTAAAGCGATTCAAGAGGAATTCAGTTATATGCACACACACACACACACACACAGAAGAGTAACAGAACATGTTAAGATTTTAAGAGTATTATTACAATCACTCTAAGAAATAGACGGACACTCACCGTCGATGTTGTTTACGTTACGTTCAAAGTTGACATTGATTGAAAAAGATGGCAGCACTTGTAGCACTAATACGAGCAACAACCTTCTTTTGACGGAGTCGGCAAACGCGTTCATGTCCTGACTGGCGAGCGTCGACTGATAATGAATGGGTCGCTACAGCTGATAGTGTAAATACGTTTTTGCAATTACGTTTGTTGTTTTAAGTGCGAAGTGGTTTAGTGATGATACTGTTCTACCTATGTTTTATTGATTGGATGGTGGTGACACACGGAGACTATGAAATTATACTAAACAAATTAATACATATTCTTTCAGGTTTTATTATATTAAATGTGACATGTGACGTAATAAGACTTTTTGCACAATAAATATTTTTTGTATAATTAATATGCTCCGCTCTGTAACCGTGTAAAATGTCCGTGTGGTGACGGATTAAGAATACGGAATGTCACCACCCCTATTTATCCCGTGGGTGTCGTAAGAGCCGACTAAGGGAGCAAACTACGCAGGACAACAGCACTGCAAAGAGAAGGAAAACTTGAAACAACCCCTATATCAACCTGTCTGGCCAGCGTGGTATAGTAGGCCAAAACCTCCTTTCTAAGGAGAGGCCTATGTCCAGCTGTGGACTATTCTAGGCTGTTGATGATGATGATGATGATGCTCTGTAACCTACAGTACCTTATGAGAGAAGTAAAAGTTATTATTATATAGGCTATTTTTAGATGGGTTCTGTCCTTGATTTGATTTCAATTCCTTGATGTAAAAATGGGGCGGGACATGATTTTGAGGGGCTATGTGCTGCCACAACTAGGGACCCCTAGATCATTTAATTATTTGACGTTTAGTCAAAATTTATGAAACCCTAATTTCAACATAATATGTGTAAACATAATTATATATCATGGAAAGTATTTAGTGGGGCTCGTGGCTAAGTGGTAACCAAGTAACACATTGCAAAGTTAAGTAATGCTAGCCAGGTCAGTATATAGATGGGTGACCATTATTAACACATTGAGACCCCTCCGTGCCTCGGAGAGCACGTTAAGCCATCGGTCCCGGTTCCCATACCAACATCTGTGGCTATTGTAACGGGTAGTAGGGACCCTAGGGCTTTATACAGAACTTTGATATCTCCTAGTACTTTAAAAATAACCTTATCTGCGTACTCCTTCCTCAAAGGCTATACTCCTGAGTTGCAGGCGTTCATGGGCGGTATCCGTCGGTAATGGTTGAAAGTTGTAGAAATTTGAGCAAGTGTGTCATAATAATGTGCAGATACGCATACTTTATCTTTATCGTGATTGGCTACTAAAACAAAGTCTCGATTTTAATTACACTTACTGGCAACACAATCATGTTTTAAATTAAAATCTCCTTTGTTAATAAATTTTGTTCAAGGATGGTTTTTTCGACTTCAGTACATGTTTTATTATTTTGTTTTATCAAGATTATTTGACGATAGAAGCAAGGTGTATTTAATTGCTAACTTGATTTAGACACAAAACACTTGGTTCTTGTCAATTTTTATTTCTTTACTAGCTATTTTTTATTTCTTGTTTCTAACTTTGAAAAAAACTAACAAGACAACGTCCAACTACACAGATGAATTTTATTTTACCCCCTTAAGGGTGAAATTTCTGAAAATAGTTTCTGAAACTTAAACCTTGAAAATGACGAACATCCATACCAACTATTCATTAGTGACAATTCAAGAAAAAAATCTTGGGTGCTTACTAAGCATCATCTGCCAAAATTTCAAGGTTTGGGCTCTGCTCTGATGACTCTGTCAGTCAATCAGTCTGGGCATGTAATTTCAAACAATTTTGGTATATGTTAAGTAATGTCGAAAGAGTTTGATTGCCAACATTTTGTAATGAGCCGATGGCGATACAGATATGTCAACTCATTAGCGTTATCTGATAATTCAAATATACCTACGGCCGCAATTATATCTGCTTAATTAATGACAATCCTTTTTATTGTAATAAACTCTAAAAAAGGGAATACATATAAGGCAATGTGGGTGGTTTATTTCATTATTTCTTCTTTCCATTCGTTCATCGAAACACAAAAATCAATCATAGAAATTTAATTAATCTTTTAAATCAATTGCACTAATTTAAATCTTTGTCACAATATCGATTTAAGGGGTCGGGGGTTCCGGCAACCGCCAATTCGAGTGATAGATATAACCCTAACCTTATCTCTGATCAATTTCTCAGTTATTTCTAATGCCTGTGGCATTTGGTCCGCCACAATTTGTTGATTAATCATTAATTCAAAATAAAATAACCTACGTTCAGTTAAACAGATACCTCAGTTAAATTGGTCCTAGTTAACACTTTAACAGGCACACAGAAAACCGTGTAGATGAGCCACTCGGATCCAACAAGCAGTGGTAGCGTACGGGTTAAGGCGTCAGAATTGGCATGAAATAGCTACTAGGAAGCTACTATGAAATAGCTACTAGCTATGAATAGGTTTCGAACCTCAGTCAGTTCTAACCTGCTTTTTGTTCAAGACAAGACAAGCACTTAGCTTCACTGAAGCGGGTGAATAGGAATACCAGTAATGTGAGACTCAGGTCACTAATTCTCCTTAGAGCCACGTGTCCCTATACTGATATAGTAACAGACCTATCTGTTTATACATTTACTATGTACATTTTGAGTAACACGAACATTCAACCTTTAATATTTGAAAAAAAAAATGTTTTTTGTTGGACCTTATTTTCATGCATATTACTAGATGCAATTAAATACACCTGTTCCAAAAATCCCTTTAACGATTACAAATAGTTGATAATCTTCGAACGGCATAATTGAGTTTTTTTTTAAGTAGCTAAGAATAATAATCTAGATTAAGCTAATTGTGAAGCAAAATTAAAATCAAAACTGTAAGGCAGGCAGCACGCAGGGTGACTGTCAGCCCCGACAGTCAAGTTTAAGTCGGCGTTAGTACGTTAAGTATTAAGTATACCAAAAACTTAGATGTTTAATAGGCTGTGGAATAAAAATGATATTACTCGTATGTTTATTTTTCTGAAGAAAAGAACAGGTAGAAGTGATTTATTTTGGAAACTAGTCATTGTTGTGTAATCGTTTTTCGTCTCGTCAATTTATGAATACAATAACTTCAATAAAACAACTTGAATCAGATATACTTATTAACAAATAGTAATTTTTGTAAATACAATTTATGTTTCATTCATTATAGTATTTTATGGGAAATAGGGTCATTTAAAGAATCACTTATTTTTTCATAGAGCCATCTTAACTTTTTCATTTGATCTGAGTTGATAAGTCAACAACACATCAAACTCTGTGAAAAAAGAAGTGAGGCCAATTAAAACTACCCAAATATACGCACACACTTACAACGAAACTACGCCTTGTAAGTCAAAATATCATCAAAAATGTCAACAATATTTGTACGTAATATGCAAAATTGTGAAACGGTGTAGAAATTAAACTACAAGAGATAGATAGTAAGATGGAATCGCATTTCACACATTAGCAAGCGTGGAAAATAATATTTTCAATAAAATAAAATTATGATGGCAGCACCGGTCCTCGCACACATGTGTATAAAACCAGCGTCACTCCGTTATTCTTAAAGGGTACTTCTGCAAGTTGATGGCTGATGACTAATCGGGACTTGCGCATGTACCAGCGCGAGTCACCCGCGTAGGTGACCCGCACAATTTGCAGCGACCACTAAATTAATTGACTCTAGTAGAACAATATTTTTGACAAATGATTCCACAAGAATTCGCGTTCGTCGAGTTATTTTAATGTGATTTATTGCTCCAGCTACTACACCGTGTACAAGCACCCTGTTACTGAACTGTTTCTAGTCTGAAGCTAGCAAGACCCATACATGTAACCCATCCGAGCAGCATGTACAAGTTCTTGCTACGTGTAGAATCACATAATGTTCCATCTTAACTTTTTTATTTGATCTGAGATTATCACGTAATGTAAAATAAGCAGAAGCGGAACTACAGGCATTATTTGCTCAAAAGAAGATCAGAACACAACATTTTGTAGTATTATCGAGGCAATTAGTTTCCCCTTATTATCTTGTATTTGAATTCCTCTGATATCATAAGATTTATCAAAATTATCTAAAATACCACTTATTTTTTATTTAACAAACAAATTGTTGATGGAAAATCACCTAGCTCACTCATGTGAATTCACTTTCTACTTACGCAATTAGCTCAGTAGGAGTGGACTAAGATATCTACTTATTTATATTACACGGTTTATTTAAGTAAAATTTACAAGCAACATATTTAGAGAAGCGGCTAAAATTCTACCTCCAGTGGTAGACTTCCTTTTCGTTCGTTAAGCTCATGCTTTGCAAGTCGCCATTCAAATGCGGGATTAAAGAAGGAGATACACATGTGTTCCGTAGCGCCTTCTCTAAAGATTACAAGCGTCATCATTCTTTTGATATGATCAATTTGTATTAATATATCAAAAGAAAAACATACCTTTTTTTTTCCGTGCGGAAATCCCCTCGTATACCACCTATCGGTGGCATGTCAGACTCGAACCGACTCTGGTACTAATAGCCGGGGAACCAGGTATACCCTAGAAAGAAAGGTCCCTGGTGCCCCGACATACCTCGGGCCATCTACAGACGAGTAGACGACCCCCCCCATGTGGGAACCCCATGTTCCCTCTGCTCCCTGGAAGCGAGCGCGCTTCGCAACGCGCTCGCCGCAAAGAAAAACATACCTATAAAACATATTAAACCTCCTTTCTAAGGAGAGGCCTATGTCCAGCTATTGGACTATTAAAGGCTGTTGATGATGATATAAAAAGAATTCTAAAGCAATACTATAATTTACTGTAGATACTCCTTATCAAACAACCGAGGCTCGCGTGCTCTGCAGACAATGACATATCCTCTCTCTCGAAAGTCTCTTTGTCTGGATAATAAAATATTGATATCAAAGAATGAGTAGGCATTTTAAAAGTTATGAGATTGCATGAGATGAAAGTTCCCATCATTGTCCCTATCAGGTCTTATGAAAGGAATTTATAGCAAATCCTGCATTGTCAAGTATCTAAAAGTCTTTTGAAAAATTTATATTTTACCTCACGAACTTTAATATTAATTCCTCCAATAAGCGCGGGAGAGTCATATTTCGGTACAAAAGGGACCGTTTCGACTCTGGTGATATCGAGGCGAGGCTTCACAGCAACCGGTGTTAAGCAGTTCTTTTTCTCTCTTTCGTCGATTTTCATTCTTGTTGTCTTTTCATTATTCTTAAGTTGCAGGTGTCTATTGGCGGTAGTTACTACCCATTAGGTGACTCAAGGGCTCGTTTTCTCCCCCCCCCCCGCCCGCCCCCCCCCCAATTCTATAAAAAAACCTTGACACCTCAAGCTCATCCTGAGAAATCAGACATATGGACAATAATATAATGTTGTATTTAACTAACTTATAATTATTGTAACTTATAATTAATCACAAAAAAAGGCAAGTCGGCTTTCAATATTCGTTTATTTTATGTATAAATATATGTATTAAACTATTTTTATAGACCTGTTCTCTTGGGTAGCTGAGCAAACTTTGATACAACTGTTTATTCATGTTATAAGTTATTGAAATGTTTAGTTTTTAAGATACTATAACTGTAGACTTTGTTAGTTACCGATACAGTTAGGCATGCTGAGTTGTCGTCATTGGAGGCTTCTTTTCTAAGTTTTTATTGAAGTAACTCCTGACACTTTGGTTTAATCCGCTGGCTCTTCTATAAGTCCAATCCCTATTTTTCTTAGGAAAACAAGCACCGGCAACGGAGAGTATCAATATGAAAACGAACACGATTGTCAACCAGAATAAAGCACCGGAGAAGACTGAAAGAGACAAAATAAAAATTTATTCATCTTTTCACATATATACGGATCAACGGACCTGTTCGTATAGTGGTAAGTGATACTGACTGCTAAACCAGCGATGTTTATTTAGAAGTATAGGTGCCCGTTTGACGGCAATAAGCTTGCCTCCTATAGTTCGCAGAATGTGGGCGTTTTAACATGCCTCTATCTACCTACGTAAAAAAAAATCGGAATAGATCATCTATTTTACAGCGATACCCATTAATAAATATACTTACTACTACGTGAGGGTCTCACAGCCAACTGGTTATTAACAGTCGTCATGGAAATCTCTCCATTTCCTTCCACAAGTTTGATTGCGATGGTCCACGGTTGCAAGTCTATGGAATCAGGATTCCATATGTTAAGAACGCAGGCGCCTGTATGCAACAATGGCTCTAGTGTGTATCTTTGGGGCACGTTGTCTGAAGTGAAACCTGGTGACAGCAAATACAACGGAATTAAATACACCTCTGGATGTGAGTATACGTCTCAAAAAAATTTTTGTTTGTTCCAAATGGTTCACTGTTTTAAGAAATTGAGAACTTCAAAGGGGTATAAATGTAATATCCCTTGCGTAATATTGCCTTCTCTTCCTATCTGTCTGACCTTTCAATTTACTTCTGTCTCTGTTATAATTCTGTCACATATTCCCAAAATGTTCAGCTGCAGGCTGAAGGTACCTCTAATACGAAAGTACTAATACTGCTACTACAAAAGTACTAGTACTAAACTATTGTTCAATATTATCTCACCTTCTCCATCCATCCTCACAAATCTGCAGTACTCGATGGCTTGTCCACTGTGGATAAATGCTTCTACTATAGCCCTCTGCTGTCTGTCCCAAAAATGGTTCACGGACATCTTAGCTGTGTAAGTAAAAAATAAATATTATGTTTCGCGTCAGCCTTTGATATAGGACCTCTATATGGCAAGGCCAAAAGTTACACGTAGGTATATTATTTGTCATTGTTATGCTTAGGTATTGCACGCTTTGGTTGGTATAATGATCATGTATGCGTCTTGTTCGTTTCAGATTTGACACACATGCGCAAGCTACTTGCATCGTGTAGAAGCACCCTTACATTTAAACTACAACGACAACAACCACAAATACTGCAGTTTAAGCTCTATTTGTATAGATTTATAACTTTATTGTGATTTCATTAAAGTCGAACACATCTTGATCTAAACTGAACATTTAACTCGTACGACTCGTTTAACTGTGAGGAATCCTTTAACATATTGTGTGACGACATTATGTTAAACCTCCATAGTTATTTATATTTTTGACCGTTTGATGCTGGTAATAAGAATTTAGTGGATTCTGGTTGTCAGTTGTTGTAAATATTTTAATGATATTGGTATTGGTAAAAGTTGTCATAATATTATTAAGTATTTTAAAAAGCACCCCACGCTTCTTACGATAAAATGATATTTTATTAATTTGGTACTATATCTTTTTTTGAACTCATAGGAAATTATTTTCTACATTTTAGTTCAGCTATTTACGAAGACGTGTTTTTTTCTACTGCATGGATGGCGTATAAGCGGTCGCCACGCCGCTTCCTACTGCGCCGAGTGTTGTGGGTTCAAACCCCACATGGGAAGACACTTTGTGTGATCCATAAATTGTTGTTCTGAATCTGGGTGTTCTTTGTGTCCGTTTCATGTATGTTTGTAAAGTCTTTTTTAGTTGGGAGTTGTCTTTTTAAATAGCAAATAGCAACTATATTATTAGGATTTATTTTTGATGTTTTGGTATTTAATAATGATTATTTAATGAAATTTTTAACACGTCAAAATTTACCGTCTTAAACTAAATAGAACTGACAAACATAACGTCCCGTAGCTGGAAGAATGACAAGATCAAAATCGTCCTTAGATTATTTTTTTCCATACCTGATATAGTAGCTACGATTGCTTCCCTTAGTTCAGGAGCCGTGGTATCCAGAAGCCCAACGTGGCAGCTCCAGATGCCTCCCTCGCGGGTTGATAAGCTTTTGAATCTAATACCACAATCGCCTGCATCCAATCCTGCTCCTACATACTCAAAATTCTCCGATCGTGACATCCCTGAAAGATGATTTATTCAACATTTAATAGATATTAGTTTAGACAAGCTGAAAGTGTGTGCTGGTGCTGACGTGACTGTTTCTTTGTCTGGTTTATCCATCCAAAATGTTTAAAGGTACGTTAATATTGTTTATGTGATTTAAGTCATAACCAATTCGGTTAGGTTAGAGATACTGAAATAACCATACTACAGGCTCTAGTCAAAACCTCGTTAATCCTCTCATTTCACAAGATTTGAACACATTGTGGTAAATAGTTCCTCAGAGGAACAAAGGGTAACGTAAAGGGACTACTATTGTTTGTGAGGGATCATTGACAATGCACACAACCAGGTTATCTCAGTAGCACTCCAGTACTTTGCAGTCAGACAAAAAAAAAAGGGGTGAAGTATCATATTTTAAGAACCACATTAACCTTTTTTGATGCCAGCTTCCAAGTGGCTGAATTTCAATTTATTGCACCTATTTAACCTTTAAACACATTTCTGCCGTTCTTGTAAGCTTTTAATTTTTTTTATCAATTCGATCAATATTTTACTTCCTTAAAATAACCCAATAATTTAGCTATTCATTTATTTAATCGTATGTTAAATTCAGTACTTACTTGGGAAAACGTTATAGATAGTTCCATTATCTGCTCTGAAGTAGCAATACCGTAAGGCAGAAGAAATGGAACAGCTGAGGGTTACGGGGTCTCCTTCAAAGTATGACACATCAGTGCTCCGTAATATGGGCTCTGAAATAAAATAAACATTGTCTACGCTGATTGACGGCTGAATAAAGCTCGCTACTAAACTTTACACAAAGTTAAAGATCTATTTATTTACTCTTAAATTACGAATTTATTTTTGCACTTTTGTACATCGGAGGACTCACTAAGGCCCAGGGCATTCTGTTCCAGCCAACCTTTTTGTGGTTTTGCAAACTTGTAAGGTAGGTCAATGAAAGTATAAGTTTTTCCCATGAGTCAATAAATATATACACAGGTAACACCCACATAAACATAGATACACATTTTTATTATATTTACACATACACAATATATACACAGACATACATACATTACATTCATACACTGTGAATACTAGATTATTGCATAGATATGTGTATTGCACAAACTTAAAAATTCAAAGTTCAAAATATCGATACAAATTTTTAGATTAGGTACCTATGTATATACTCGTATATAATTGACTATTATACATGTCCACATCTAACGTAATTAGACTTTAACAAACAAATATCATAAGTAACAAATCATTACATAATGTAATTATGTTTATGTCGGTGTACGTTCTTGAGACAGTGTAAGTGACTCGACACACGAGCTTTTGCAGATGGTAGAGCTCCAACTGAGCAGGCTTGCTTGAACGAAGATAATGTGTGCAGTTTGGATGCGATATGTAGAGAGTTGTCACCAAACCTTATCGCAGACGCGGTAAGACAAAGAACCTTTCTCGACTTCAATTTATTTCAAACTATTTTGATATGAATCTTGTGTAATTTCCAGACCTTTGTAGAAAAACGTATGAAAATGACTTAACTTCCAAGGTTTTCCAAACACGGTCGGTTGTCACAATTATAATCAACTTAATATGCTGCCCGTTTTACGCTTGTGTAAATAATTAGTAGAATAGACTATGATGTTCGAAGATGGGAACTAACCAGTGACGACAGACGAGGCTGCTCCTGGATTTTGAGGGAGTACTGTCAGGAATCCGTAGTGTGTTCCTGTTGAGGTATCCAAGCCGCAACGCCAAATGCCCAATTCTGCGACTGATGGGTTGATAAGGCGGAGTGTACAGTCATGACTGTGAGCATTCGATACGTAGCTAAAAAACAACACATGTAATCAATCAGATACTATAGTTATTCATTTGTTTTCAGCAGCCCGAATTTCGGATCCGTTTTTTCATTTGATCTTTTAGTTATTAGCGATATTAGTAGTAGGTAGAAGGAAATTAAGCGCAGTTTTCGAATGAATTTGTAATTTGTCTTATTTTTTTTTATTTTTTTTATTTATAGTAATAAAAAGTTAAACTAGAGAAATCCCCTAAATTTCATTCCTTATTATATAGTCAAGCTGTATATGTTTCGACTCTCAATTATCATCTTCTTTAAAAAAAATACCAATCACATCAACAGACTTTAATAGTCCACTGCTGGACATAGGCCTCCCCTTAGAAAGGAGGTTTTGGCCTACTATACCACGCTGGCCAGACGGGTTGGTATAGGGTTTGTGTCAAGTTTTCCTTCTTTTTGCAGTGCTGGTGGTTTTGCGCCCGGCTCTTACGACACCCAGGGGGTGAATTGGGGTAGTGACATTGCGTATTCTTAATCCGTCACCACAGGGACCACGGATAAAACTTGATGAGAGTATAGTATATACTGTTTCGTAGAGCCACAGTGCGGCGAAACGTTGACGTTGATGACACAGCTGACATCGCAAATTAATACATTGACGGACCAGCCAGACCAGGACGAGCCAGAGGTCGTGGGTTCGATTCCCACCCAGGACAAATAATTGTGTGTAGAGCACGACCATTTGTTCTGTGTCTGGGTATAATTTATATATGTTTATATATATATAAATTTTGTTTATATATTTATATATTATGTATGTATTTAGTAATATATAAGTATGTTTATCAGCAGTCTGGTTACCATAGTACAGGCTCTGCTTTTTTGGGATCAGACGGCCGTGTGTGAGATGTGTAAAGTTAAAAAAAAAAATTGTCTCATTCAACAAGGCCTCGTGACAAACGTCTTCTAAACGGCATTAGTTCTAGGGCGGAAGATGGTGTTGCAGGTTAGTTGTAATAAGAAAAACAAAACAAAAACGAAACCTCAGCAGGGCAAACTCACTTTACGGTAGCTTGTCTAAACATGTAGTTGTCTTGTCCGACTCCATGAACAGCAATCAGAATGTTGCCTCTAGGGTCTCTGAACTTACAGGCGTGGACCTCGTGTCGGGCAGGCACAGAGCATGTTAGCATCAGTGAAGAGTGATTCTCCTCCACGGTTGTACTAACGATTGGGAGACCATCTAGAATTTGTCAAGTATTTTACTTCTTCAAAATCTTTAAAAAATATAAAAGGTTCATTTACTAAACATATGAACACGATATCACCATAAGTTGCTTTGTCAAAAGGAAAATTATTTAAAAAGTTATAACAAAAAGTAGTGTGTTGGTAGTAGTTAAGATCGCTGTTTGCCATGGTTAGTAGTGTGTGGTAATCTTTTAAGTGTTTATTTCGCGGAGAGGTATTATTTCTATCCTATGGGAACTTTTCTTTTTTCTAGATGAAAAGTACCTACTCTAATTATGTTCCTGTATATGCCCGGTATACCTGGCAACGTGTAAGAAAATTTTATGTTCTAACTTTAACCACCCGTTTCGAAATCTATATAGCCCCATTAAATAATCTATCAAAAAAGTGTCAGTGACAAAATAACAAAAACGTTTCATGAAATAGGTGTAAGACAAATTTGTCAATTACAAAATTTCAAGGCAATTTAAAATTTAAGTGATAAATATATAATTGATAAATATTGATTGATTGAATGAACAAATATTGAATCATTATACATCACAAAATACTTATAATTAAAAGTATTAATGTTCTACCTAAGTAGGTATGTCTTTTGGTAATAATTATATAATATTAGCTTTTAATTACCAGTAATCGTTTGCGTAAATATCGATTTCCTCAATGAATGTTTCCTTCATAAAAAGATCCAAAAAGTTATTCCAAACTATATCCATCTGTATGCAACTCCGTTCAGTTTTTTATTTATTTATTTTTTATTTATTTAAATAAGAAAAACAGCATAACATAAAAACATGAAACACCCATAAAACACGTATTGGTTTATCTTGGGTGTGAGTGTACATTCCTCATTCCTTTATGTTTCGTTTGTTTATTCACTAGTTAGTTATTCTGGTAAGTAACAAACATCCATACACCTATCGTCATGTCATAAACTTTCGCGTTGTTAGAAGAAAATTCGCTTGTAATAAAAATGAGTAGAATAACTAATTACGTATGAAAATATAGGTACCTAATAGATTTAAATTTTCTTTATTTAAAGTAAATTTAAAAATTGATGGAAAATATTTTAAACTATATCCAAATTTGGACACTAAGAAAAAAAAACTATTATTAGTATGCTTCCGATCAAGTGGAATGAGTCCATAAGTATTTTTTGAACTCTTTTTCTTTTTGAAAATATTCTCTTTCTTTCTTAATGAAAAGGCCCGATAATTGCTAGTGTAATATAATAGTATAGTATAATATTCAAGTAAGGTCAGGAACAAATAATGCCTTATTACCACATTTTAAGAATTACAGCTAACAATATAAAACAAACGACGATCTGCGTGACGTGATGATACAATTGTCTACAACGTCATGTGCCGCGGGCTCTATTTTCATTATCATATCAGAACAAATATTTTAAAGCTTAAATGAGTCTATTTATCATTATGATTATATTATATGATTAATGTTTACGAATTTACAATAATTTATACCTAAATGTATATTTTATTGTCTAATCATAGGTAAGGTCACCCGGGGCGGAAGCAAGTAATTGAAATTTCTCTCATTGTAATGGTTTTTCTATTACGAGCTATCTATTATAGATATCTAAAGCATTCAGCAATCATTGTTTTTCCAAATAAAATACAGATGTTGTTACTAAACTGCTCACTTTTGTATTGACGGGGCACATTTGCTCAGCCACCATTTTGGATGTTTGTATTTGATTTTATGGTCATAAAAATATTTATCGTCGTTTACAGGAAAATTACAAGCTCTTCATGTAAAAAAGATAAAACTCAAGCGCTATATTTAGTGGGTATATTTAGTTTAACTCTAGGTCTTTCGATTAACATTTATTGATAAAGTTACATTAGCCTCAAATTTTTGGGCAGAGGGGTAATTGCAACTATTTTAACAGTTACATAGCTTTTGTATGAAAAATCAAAATCGCTAGTGGCGTTTATTTCGATAAGTGTTTCTTATTTATTTAGGTACATAAATAACTGCAATTGGTGTGACGTATACAGTAAACAAGAAACAGTGAACGTACAAGCTACCACAAAGTCAAAATTGGCGAAAAAAATGCTTCTTGAAGTTATACAACTAGTAAAGCAAAAAAAATATATATTACACCACATGTATACGCTACGCGCGAGCAAATACAGACCAATCGTGGTAAAGACTATATGGAAGAAATATCTTCTTATTTGCACATAATGAAAAGCAACGGTTTGCCCTTGACTACAAAAGAAGTCAAGGCATTGGACTCAGAAGACATTATTAGGAATGGTATTATTACGTTTTTTAAAGAAGATCTCCCTGGTGATGAATGGCTTAGTGGTTTTCGTAAGAGAAAGGGATTGTCGCTGAAAAAACAACAACCTGTAGAAATTGGCGATCACTACCAACTATTTTAGGTAGATATTAAGTAAAAAAGTTAAAATATTTTTAACGAAGAACAATAAACTATTTTTGACTAGGTATTTAAAGTTTAATACAGAGTTTTATATTAATTAGTTATTAAGAATAAGAAATCTTTGTATATGATAGGAAGTAAAGGATAAAATTATTTAAAAAACGTTCAAGATAAGTTCAAGATAACTTTTTCTTCTTTTCCTGAATATCGGATTAGTCGTACTTGCACATTTTTCTTAGCATTGCACATAAGTCTTCGGAAGAGTATGAAACCGGTAGTAAATTGTGACGATAGAGCTAATTTTCGCGCGTCAACCCTAAAAGTGACGTCTTTTATTAATGTTGTCGAATATCTGATCCACAATATCCAACACTAGATACTACGGAAGATACTTGCATTAGCCCCAGAATATTATTTTTATACATAATATTATTGAACACTGAGTCCTATTTTCAGCGACTGAATACCATTTTCCGATAGCTTTTTCGAGAATCTACGTTTTCTCTTGTCCTTAGCACTTAGTTACTAATTACTACCTTGTAACAGTTATTTTTTTTGTATATTTGTAATGCGTACGGTCTTGTTAAAAGAGACATCTATAGGCCGCGTTGCATTGTTGTTGATTTATCTAAAGTAGTTTATAACTACAGTATTGATCTTCTGCGTTTACTGTCGGACCACTAGATGGCGTTTTTGTTTGTGGATAAGTCAGTATTGATCTATCATGACAAATTGTATAGGTATTGAGAAGGTTCTGGTATGGTAGGAAGGAGTTACTTTTGATCTTGGTCGGGTTAATCCTCGTCGGTAATTTAAATGTCAAAGTAAAATGTTGAGGAGGGGTTATTTTCTGGAAGCTTCGTTAACCGAAGATATATAAGTCCGGCTTTCTGCCACGGGAGACACTCTGCTATCTCGTGCCTTCCGATCTTAAATAGTGTTTTGATTGCTGTGTAATTTGATTTTCGTAATATATTATCTGTTCAAAAGTACCCACAAGAGTGGTGAGTATGGTCTTAATTCTTCTTGAACCTATTTGTTTCTGGAACCTGATTAATTATATGAGTGCTAAGCCATTCGTAGGGTCCCAGATATCGGGGTCAAGACGGTCAGTCTCAGACGGCGTGCTTGCTCGTTTGTGGCCTTCTGGTTCAGACTCAAGTTTCTCGGTACCCTCTGGCAAGCTGGTGATTGCGCGGCTCACGACGCAAGCGGACAGCCGTACCCAAGGGTTACGTACTTACTTATAAACTTATAAATGCAAATTGTTTAACTTTTATCAATATCTAATATAAATAGCCGACTCGGGCGGAAGAGGAAGTAACCTCCTGGAGTAAAGACGAGGAGGCACCGAGCACCATCAGCTCGGCTCTGACGCGCCCCGCTGCGGGTTTTCTTATACCCTATGTTTTTTATTGTAACCTTAATTTTTTTTTTTTTTATTTTAATATACATGTATGTATGACTGAGGAGTAAGTTGTTTTCCTCTGGTGAGTCCCGTAGGTTTCCCACACCCACACACATCTATTCTCTTAAAAAGGCGCCCTGAGGTTATCTCATAAATCTCTCCACTGGGTCAGCCGGTGAGTAGTCCGCCTGAGAGGAAAAGCGGTTACAACCTGACCCCCGCAACATCATCTGCGTCTCCAAAAAAGAAATAAATAGAAGGACATACACGCGGGCGGAGCCACGGGAAAAAGCAAGGATTAGTGTAGCTAAACATGTGGGCTCGACTTTCCCACTAGCCATTTCGAGTTACAAATACCTATTATGTGACTCTAATCTGCTCGAGCCATTACTTAGATTGCCCAACCCACTTATAAGCTGTATCCCATTCCTGCCATTGCCATCTAACTGTCTATCTTCAATAGTCCACTGCTGGACATAGGCCTCTCCTTAGAAAAGAGGTTTTGGCAGTAGGCCCTACCACGCTGGCCAGACGGGTTAGTATAGGGGGGGGTGCTGGCTAGAAAACCTCCCCGTGGTGCACCCTGGAAACGCTGGCGATGGTACTGTTTCCTCCTTGTCCTCTTGGAGGAGAGGATTATCGCCAGCGGCCAATATTCTAGCAGAAGAGGTAGCCGTTCATCGGCTCTCGGGCAAGGCCTGGTCCAGCAGGGTGGGCGTGTCTGCCGGTTGCCCTGCTGGCTCTTCGCTCTTCGGAGCATGGAGGAGGAAACCTCGGTAAAAAACCTGATGGCGGGGCCCTGTAGGGGCCACAGTTTCTCCGCTGACAGCGGTGGAGAAAGGAGGACGGGCTCGGCGTGTACTCACACTACCACCGAGCAGGCAGGGGGACGTAGTCTCCCTGTCAACCGTTGGCATATCGCAATCCCGAGAAGAGCGCTGTGGTTAAGTCTCGCGGCTCTGATCGGGGGCGAGGGTCTTGGCTTAACCGCCCGGACCGCGAGGAAGATAACCTCTCTAAAAAATTCCCCGAATCCCGTGTTCTGGTGCGTGGCCAGGGGATGCATGGCTGATGGGAAGTTCAGTCGCGAGCGCACTCCAAGCCGAGGTACCTGCGGACCCCTCGGTTGGGTTAAAAACTTACGCTTGCCCGGGTAATGGGGGATCTCTGCCCGGGT